CCTACGTATACCTCAGCTATCTTTCAAAACAAAGTTAAATCATAACATTTAAGTCATTAAGGACTTTACATAAGACAATGTAAACAGTAGAATTAGTTGAGCTAGGCAATCATTACTTAAAGGACAAATTAGCTAGTTAATGCAAGATATAACATATGTAGTTAATGAGGTAATTACACACATGTGTAGCTAATGAGGTAATTACCTCCACAGACGAGACAGATCATAAAGTTGCACTCTGTTGCAGCTGTTACTGACAGTTTGCTCAGTTAATTAACTCAGAGAAATCAAGTGCAAGGTATAAGTAATATGTGTAGTTAATGAGGTAATTACCACTATATACGAGACAGATCATAAAGTTGCACTCTGTTGCAGCTGTTACTAACACTTCTCTCAGTTAATTAACTCAGAGAAATCAAGTGCAATGTATAAGTAACATGTGTAGTTAAATAGGTAATTACAACTACAGACGAGACAGATAATATAGTGGCACTCTGTTGCAACTGTTACTAACACTTCTCTCAGTTAATTAACTCAGAGAAATCAAGTGCAAGGTACAAGTAACATGTATAGTTAATGAGGTAATTACCTCTACAGACGAGACAGATCATAAACTTGCACTCTGTTGCAGCTGTTACTGACAGTTCTCTCAGTTAATTAACTCAGAGAAATCAAGTGCAAGGTACAAGTAACATGTATAGTTAATGAGGTAATTACCTCTACAGACGAGACAGATCATAAACTTGCACTCTGTTGCAGCTGTTACTGACAGTTCTCTCAGTTAATTAACTCAGAGAAATCAAGTGCAAGGTACAAGTAACATGTATAGTTAATGAGGTAATTACCTCTACAGACGAGACAGATCATAAAGTTGTACTCTGTTGCAGGTGTTACTGACACTTCTCTCAGTTAATTAACTCAGAGAAATCAAGTGCAAGGTACAAGTAACATGTATAGTTAATGAGGTAATTACCTCTACAGACGAGACAGATCATAAAGTTGCACTCTGTTGCAGGTGTTACTGACAGTTCTCTCAGTTAATTAACTCAGAGAAATCAAGTGCAAGGTACAAGTAACATGTATAGTTAATGAGGTAATTACCTCTACAGACGAGACAGATCATAAAGTTGCACTCTGTTGCAGGTGTTACTGACAGTTCTCTCAGTTAATTAACTCAGAGAAATCAAGTGCAAGGTACAAGTAACATGTATAGTTAATGAGGTAATTACCTCTACAGACGAGACAGATCATAAAGTTGCACTCTGTTGCAGCTGGTACTGACAGTTCTCTCAGTTAATTAAATAAAGCTAACACTAAGCTACAATCTATCTGAGAAAACTGCTTGTTATTGCATTTCCTGAGTACCTGGTTTTCATCTAATTTATTTTTTTTGCGGAGTATTATTTATGTTATAAATAATGTGTGTTATTTATATTACGTTTAATGTGTATTGGGAGACGATAATTGGTATTTAGGCAAAGATGATATAGTTTGTGTTTGCTTGATTAAAATGAAATTCGTTTATGATTTGGGTTTGTATGCTTCGGATTGCATTACCGTACATATTTCTAGGATTATAAACATTTTGAATTCAGTCGTTATAGTGCTTAAAGCATGCCTAATGTTTAAGGCTGAATGTTGTCCAATATGTTCCATTATGTTGTTCAATAAGTTTAATCTAAAAGTAATGTTTAGGATTATAACTATGCAATTTAAAGCTCCTGTTGAAAGAAATAGTTAGACCTACGGTTAAATAACAGGCTGAAATGATCTGCGAAACTTAAAAATCAGACTCCTTTAAATTATTGCACAACAAAAGTATCGATTCAATCGGTAATCATAAACTTACAAAACCAAAACTGTTTATAGGGTATCGATTGTAACATTCGATACTACAATGGAGTCAGATATCAAAGTTTTTCTGTGTAATCATAAAAATCGCAGTTTTTCTTACTTGACAAAGTTATGAATTCATTCGGTACGTTTTACAAAGCATTCCTCTGATCTTAAGGGTTTTCAGGTGAAAAATATTTTGTATTTACAGTTAATCCATTGAAATGTAGTGTCACTCTTCTTTTACAATTTACTATAATTAAATACTTTTTCATCATTCCTTAACGAAAGTAACTATTTTCGATAACAGCTGTCATCAATGAAAGTAGTCGTTTCCCAAGCTCTAATTTAGGGCGAGGGAAAATCGAACAGCTGGTTTTCCCTCGCTCTCAATTAGTTCTCTATTTATTCACTACGCGCGCTAGTGTTTTGTTACGGTTTAATTTAATGATTTAAATCAGCTGCGTGTATTGTTAAACGTTGTTTTATTCTTTTATTTTGATGTAAAAAAAAAAATTATTGAGAAATATACGTAGGCTAACTTTAGAATTTGTTCTAATATTTTTTGGTTTTAAAAATTAATCAAAAATAGACGTAAGTTTCCTTTTAGAAAATTTAATTTTATTTTGATGTTCAATCAAATTAATTGAGAAATAAAATAGTTGCAATATTACTGAGCTCTGCTATTCTATGTTTTTGTATTTTTGCGAAGTGATGAAAAGTATCGTTCATACCTTGTACCGAAAGTTATTATCCGGCACTTGCTCCATCATTCCCGTCCTCGGCTTCGCCTCGCACGTGAAATTGGGGTTCCCTGTGTTCGGCTTCGCCTCACACAAAACCTTGAGCGCGCGACGGAAAATGCCACTTTCGGTCCTAGTAATGAAATATACTATTTAGGCTAGTGTGGTATTCAATCATTAACTCATTCAGTGTGCCCCAATTTAATAAAAAATTATTCCTACGGCACTTTTAGCTTAACAAAAATACATTGTTTGAATATATTACAGCTTTTCACAACGAACCAGATTACACACTTCTTCAAGGCAGTCCTTCTTCCTCTTCAGGATGAAGTTTTTCCTCTTCAGATGGTGTGAAGTGTTCAACCTCGTCGTTCCCACCGAACAAGAGGCCTAACACAACGTCCAAGAATATTTCAAAAACTGCCATCGCCGTAGATCCGCCCACCACCAGAAGAAATCCCAGCCAGAAAGCCATCACAGATTGTTGCTGGATTTTGTGAAATACTTCAAAGCGACTGATAAAACTCACAAAACCTCGGAAATAAATAAACCCAAACAAACCAGTTTTGTATTATTTGTGTTTGTAAACAAAATCACATGTTTTCAAAAAAATTTGTTTTTGATGTATCATTGCAGTCAGGATGGTTAGACAGATGTTTGAAAGCAAGCACGAATATTAGAACAGAAACGGTATGGATCATAAACATAAACAAATTACGTCAATGACCCAAATGCCTATACTAGCCGTAGGGTAATAGCTACAGTTATTTTAAATGTTATTAGAATCGCGATTAATTTTCAGCTAGTGTGTTTAAGTTTATGATTCATACAGTTTCTGTTCTGTTCTTGAAATCTATATTCGTGAGTAGGTACTATTCATTCTATTTCTATTTATTTACCAAAAAAAAACTGTTATGTAGCCTATAATTTGTCAGGGTGTTAAAAAGGTGGAGAAGTGATTCATGGGGTAAAATAAGCAAAAAGGTTTAAATAAACAAATGTCCAATCTCGTTCCGTTTAGCGGCTGTCTATTTGTTTATTTACTTAAACGTTCATAGATCAACAGAAGTTAGAGTTGAGTTTCTGCATATATATTTATCTTATTTGCCTCTTAAAATATGAATAAAACGTCTTAAGCTGTTAAAAAATGCCAGCTATCTTGAATATTTATTGTTAAATATTTCGTAAAACCGCACAATAGCCTACATGGCCAATTTTTTTTTTTTATTTGTTTAATATTTTATCAAGCTCAGTTTGAGCATAGAATAACTGAGTTATTCCTTTATTACTTGCTATACCTACAGTTTCCTCTTCCTTCATTTAAACAATGTTAAACTATGGTGAAAACTAGCAAACAAATTATTAATTCCTCAGTTATTCGTTGTCCAAACGAAGCTTAATAAGGTACAGTAATTATTGAAATCTCCATAGTATTTACTAAGTTTTATGTATCTTACAATGTTTAAATAGAATTTACGGGTTTTTCAATTGGTGCTTAATATTTGAAATGGCCATCAATTTAAAATGGTTTAAACATTATAATTCTCATTTTTCACAAGGATAGCGCCCAAAAAGATAGAAATTTTTGCCCAATCTGACTTATGAATGTGTTTGTACAAAACACATACAGACAGACGCCAAGACGCTAAACAAAACGAGATACAACATATGCTTTTATATATATTATTTGTTATTTTTTTTTTCTTAACAACATTCAACAAACATTATAAATGGTTTGAATTATAATAGACTGAAAGTCTACTCATAGTATCCAGAATGTATGTAACAACATAAGTTATAAGTTAAATATCACAAATAACACTTTTAAATCTATAAAATTGGCTTAAACAAACAATTTTCCAGCCGCTCTTGAATTTTCCTTCCCTTTATCTGCTTAAGTGCCTTAATTCATATTTCCTTTCATTTTTAAATCATTAGTGTTCTATTGAAGTTAATTTTCTCTAGGTATGTCCATAATTTTAACAAAGAAAATGCTTATTGGAAAACATGTTAAAATTTTTATCAATGCCAAAAGTAAATTCCATTGACTTTACTCAAAGATAGAAGCATCACGATTCACTAGGGACATCAGTGACAGTTATTGCTTAAGTTTCTGACATAGTCAGAGGTAAATGTGTTTGTTATTGACTTGTCTATAACATCTATCTGGATAAAAGCAAACCAACAAACCTATGTTTAAAAAATAATGGGAATTGAAATGGTAAACAACTAACTAAAACTCCTTCCTTTAACATTGACTTTCACAAGTTTGAGTATCATTTACCATAGATTAACCTTACTCTAATATGTAGACATTTTCATCTCTGAATGATAATGAATCAATAATTTTATTTCTTTTAATAGTCTTTGTAGCCTGTTACAAACATTTGATCAGCTGTTTATATTTTGTTTTGGTAAATAATTAATTGTTTGTTTCAGTTGAAAAAATTGTATTCAGTAATTGTATTTGTAACACCATTCGGGAAACTAAATTAATATAATGCATTTCTCAAGAAAATTTAAGAGAGCATGGATGAGAAGTAATCAAAGAATGCATGATATGCTTTTGGCAAGACCAAGAACTAGATACTTGCAGAGATGGCCAGATCCAGCATTAGAGGTAATTCTATTCATACCATACAGGTTTTTTATGCTGATAAAGTCACATTTTCAAATGTATGTTCTTAAAATATTTAATTAATTTTCATTTTCCAAAGTATTTTATCACCATTTTTGTCACCCTCGAAAATCTGTAGCAGTGTAGCCAAAATTAGGTAGACTACTTATAGCTTCCTATCATATTGAAGCATAATTTGAAATGCTTATGAGCCCTTCAAAATTGGTCTAAATGAACATTAATTTTATAGGAAGCTTACCCCAATTATGGTTTGAAATCCTTACTAAACTGATGTATTCCTGTGAATTCATTTCATTGGTGAACATAAAAAGTTATAATTATTATGCCTGGTACTTCCAAAAGACAACAGTGCATCTTAGGAAATTTTTATTTTGAAAAAGAATTTGATTAAAGCTGGATTTTCCTAGATGCTGAAGCGGAGCGTTGGGAGCAAAGGCTACTCTCCTGTTGTCTTATTTTCTTATCCTCATTGTCTTATAGGTAATTTAATGGATACGGTTTTCCTATAGAAGCAAAGTGGACCAACACTGAACACAATATGCTCTCCCTCTCTGTGTTTCGCGCTCTGCTTCTGCTTCTAGGAAAAACCCAGCTTAGATTAAAATTTTATGTATAACTTTTGCAGCGGCCTATGCCAGCACCTATTCCTGTGGCTGCCCTCAGAGCAAAGGCCACTAGAAGAACCCAGGAATTGGCAAAACCTAGAAGAACCCCCACACCCCCTCCGTAAGTAACTATCTTATTTGTTCTTCAAGGTAACACAAGTTTTAAGTTATCAAAGATAAGGCACCTATGGCTTTACTACATCTAACTCTATTTCCTAATAGTCTGTAGTTACCCTGACAAAAAATGTTGTAGCTCGTACTTGAGAGAAATTACTTTTGTCAGGTTCAAGGCAAAAGGAAACCTCTGGTGCCTGGGGCCTTGGTGTATTATTTGTTTAGATTCCAAAGTTTGTGTACAGGTGCAAATTTGTTTTTGTGTACATAGTATAATTGACTATTGATACCACTAGACATTCCATTGCCAAGTTAAAGTTGTCGCTAGTTTTTAATCAAAATCGTCGTAGTTGATGTAAGCCAGCAACAGATTGTGCTGATCTAAATTACAAATTTCTGTTGACTACAACTTGTGTACTACCAAGTAAAACTAAGAGATTGAACCATCAACTATATGTAGTAACAAAAAATAAGTAATAAAAATTTGGCGACAGTTGGTCAATATAGATAGAGTACCTATACCGTATTTTAGTATCAAATAGTCAATGGTAGCTAGTACTCATCCTAACCTAACCATTTAAGTTAGTTTATACAGTGTAAACAATAGCCTAATAGAAAATACTGAGCACAGAACAAAAAAATTACCTAAAAAAATATTGTAAGTTAATACAAAAAGTTAGATTATGAGACAAAAAATATCTAATTTGAAATAGTAATGATTATTAAAAGTTTGTGTTAATGACACTATAATTGTTTTATTAACCTCTAAAACTGTCAGCAGTTTTAGTGGCTATTGTCAGTAAAATCGTGTTAAACAATGAAGAGTTTGATTATACCCCTTTACAGCATTTTTACTAGGTCTGATAATATGAATAAAATTCATATAAAATTCCAGGCCCAGGTCTCCAGGCCAGGTGGATCCTGCGATGTTGCAGTACCAACCTTCCCAGAGAATCTTGGAACTGGCTCGGCCTGCACTCAAGGAAAAGGCCGTCAAGAAACCAACAAGGTAGTATTTCATTTTTCAGTAATGTATATTTTTTCTGTTCGTTACGACGTTGTGTGACTGTCTCCTGATAAAGAATTTGAAAATTGTCTCATACACTCCATTGGCTCTGTGTGTATGTTACATTTGTGTGCATAATGTGCGTATACAATGAATTTGGTAGCTTAAAATCCCATTAAATATAAACTGTAAAAAAAAGGAAAATCTTTTAATAACAACCCTGTTTCTGTAAATCTCTTATGTGTGAAGACACCTCAATACCCAATACCAATGAAACTGATCTTGCTAGTCAACTTTATGGTTAGAAATTTGTAAACAGTCCTTTAAAAAAATAATAATTTTATGGTTGAAGACCACAAAGAACATTACGACTATTAACTATCCACAATTGTAGTACTGTAAACACAATATTTTTAAGCCTGCATTAATATAAAATAAATATCTTTACAGGAAATCATCAAAAGGTAAAAGAAGATTGTATTCTAAAGAGAGGGTCATTATACTTGCTCAAAGGCGCATCACTTTCAAGCCTCCAGAAGAAAAAAAGGTGGGTTTATTAGTAGATCAACAATCCCTTTCTTCACCTACCATTATCAAGAGAACACAATGTTCAAAACTAATTAACTTATTTCCAGTCTCGAGAGTTTTAAGTTTATTACAGCATTTAGTTCAAGAAAAGTTTGGGGTAGGTTTATTTTAAATGTTCGAATGCAACATGTTAAAGCATCTTATTTTAAAATCAGCCTTAAAATTAAATCTTCTATTTTCTCACGTATCTTAGCCATTGTAGTATCCACTTTGATATATCCTACAATACCTTTATGATACAGTGTTCAAACCATAATTCAGGTTAAGACACCAAAAATAGTTATGAAAAAGAAAATGCATATCCCTTCCATAGTCCTGCCACACAACATTGTAACTATGCGTGTAAGTGCACTGGTAGACATATATTTTTCAAACATATATATCATTTTTTTTTATTAAAAAAAATACAAATTTACAACACATACAATTCCAAACCACAAAAGCCAATATGGCTTGTCTGCAGCAATTATTCTAATTTTGTTATTTCACAGTGCTTTTTTATTCAATCAGTCTTTTGTTTCCCTTGTTTTTCTGTAAGAATTCAATAATATACCAAACCAATCATAGAATTTAAAGTAGGTAGTCAGATTTTAACAGTTATTAATAAACAATGAAAAAAGTAACAGTAATAAACTGATTTAAAACTATTAAAAAAGTAACAATAATAAACATTTGGAACAGTGAACAACAATGATAAAATATGAAACACAGTTATCTTTAACTCAGATCTAGATATAAGTTCTGTAACTTCTTCTTTAAAACTCTACAGTAACATATATTCTTCAGCTGTACTGGTAAACTGTTTAACAAGAATGGAACTAAATATTCCCTTGTTCTTTTATAATATACCTATTTATTTGTTGTTCTTGGCACGAAATAAAGAACATTTGACTTGAGTTGTAACTATGAACATTAAGGTTTTTGAACTCATCTGAAAAATAATAATATGTTGTAATTATAAACTTAAACAGCCCTTTAACTGGCAAAACGTTGACCAATTGATAACCTAGCATGGGATTATCAACCAGATCAGCAGAATCAAGCTTAGTCATTGTTTTGATTATCCTGCTTTGCACGGTTTTTAATTGCATTATGGCTGTGTTTGATGCTGCTCCCCATGACCTTACACCATATCTAAGCAATGATTCACACAGACTTGAGTAAATCAATTTCATTGCTTTTAGTGGCAATTGTACAAAACCTTAACACTTTAGACAAAAACTACAGAAGATGAGCAGTTTCTCAAAATCTGTGGATATGTATGTGATGACAAGAAAAATCCCTTTAAAAAAATCCCCCTTTAATTCCCGTACTGTAAAACAACACGAATAAAGAACATATAACTTAATGTCTACCTACATTTTAAAATTGAAACTGTACATTGTAAGGCACTTTCTCAAATTTTACCTTATTCCTGCATTCAGACTTTTTCAGATTTTTTAAAGTCTTTTTTACTGACTGAACATTTGCAGCGTTTCAATACATTTATTTAATCTCAAGGTTATTTATTTACAAAACTATTTACAGAAATATACAATTGTCTTTGGCTCACGTATCCCAGAGACCAGGCAGGGCAATTTGTTAGGTGGTCCTTTGACGTCTGAGTTGATCGGCTCAGGACCCCTCTGTTGTTTCTGTTGTCCTGGATCAACGTTGACCTCTCGACTCGGCTCCTACATTCCTCAACGGGTATCGTCTCCTGAAGTGCTGGCCAGCTCACAGTGTCCCAATCACAGCAGGTTCTCCAAAAGAGGTCGCCAGCCCCACTGTCGGAAGCAGATTGCCATCTCTTACAGACAGATCTCTTCTATCGTTGTAAAGGGCCTCTACATCCCCCTCCAGACAGATTCATGGTCGCGGGAGGCAGCTCCTTTGGCCACCAGGGACTTAAACTGAAATAAACGGATGCCGGGGGTCAACATGACAACCAGCTGCACGGGGCTCAAGACGCTTCTAGTGCGGGGTGTACTGGGCTCTACACACCTCACCGGTGCATACCCCACCGGTGGCGCCTACTGGCGGGATCGGGCCCAGAGACTCGAGTCTCCCAAGGATGCTCCTTATATACGGTCGGAAAGTGCTTTGAAGGTGGGGGAAGGTACTAAGTACCCGTCACTAGCAAAAGTCCTAGGCACTTATTCCTCCGTACTTTTCCCTGGTAGAATTCACCGAGCACTTTTTGGTGTTGTGTTTTCCACAATATTTTGGTCTTGCTAAACACTTCATTAGAACATATTTATTAACTCAGCTATTATTGAGCGGAGCGAGCGAAGCTCTTATACGTCGACTCTTATGCATTTCGTAATACGCAAACTCCTCCTAGACGGATGAATCAATCGTTTTCAAATTTTGCATGGTGATAGAGACCATATCGGTGAGTGCCAACATCTATATGGCGTTAAAAAAGTCTCTCAGGAATCCGCCCCACTAGGTCTCAAAGTTTCAATGTAATCCTTATGGAAGCAGTATTTGACACATAAACAAAAACATATGATCAGCTGTTGACTTTTGAATGCAGTAGAAAAGAAATAGCTGATAGCATTAATCCACAGATATTAGAACAGAAACGGTATGGATCATAAATATAATCAAATGACGACATTAGCTTGAGGTCCGTGACGTAGGAAGTGGTGAAGGAAGTAGTAAAGGAGAGCAGTCTGGAGTGTGGAAACTGTTTATGACGATTAGATTTAGGTATCTGCATTCCTAAAATTTTATAGGAAGGGAGGAAAACTGGTCCGCGACGTAGGAAGTGGTAAAGGAAGTAGTCGAGGCGAGCTGTCCAGAGTGTGGGGACTGTTTATAACGATTAGATAAAGGTAATATTAAAGGCATTCCTAAAATTCTATTGGAAGGGAGGAAAAGGGGTCCGCGACGTAGGAATTGGTGAAGGAAATAGTCAAGGCGAGCTGTAGGGAGTGTGGACTGTTTATGACGATTATATTAAGGTATCTGCAATCCTAAAATGCTATTAGAAGGGAAGGAAACAGGTTCGCGACGTAGGAAGTGGTGAAGGAAGTAGTAAAGGCGAGCTGTTTGGGATATGGAATCTGTTTATGACCCTTAGATAAAGGTATTTGCAATCCTAAAATGCTATGGGAAGGGTGGAAAACAGGTCCGCGACGTAGGAAGTGATGAATGAAGTAGTCAAGGCGAGCTGTCCGGAGTGTGAAAACTGTTTATGACGATTAGATTAAGGTACCTGCAATCCTAAAATGCTATGGGAAGGGTGGAAACAGGTCCGTGACGTAGGAAGTGGTGAAGGAAGTAGTAAAGGCGAGTTGTCTGGAGTGTTGGATCTGTTTATGACCAATAGCTTAAGGTATCTACAAACCTAAAATGCTATGGAAAGGGAGGAAAACAGGTCCGCGACGTATGAAGTGGTGAAGGAAGTAGTCAAGGCGAGCTGTCCGGAGTGTGGAAACTGTTTATGACGATTAGATAAAGGTAATATTAAAGGCATTCTTAAAATTCTATGGAAATGGAGGAAAAGGGGTCCGAGACGTAGGAATTGGTGAAGGAAGTAGTAAAGGCGAGCTGTTCGGGGTATGGAATCTGTTTATGACCATTAGATTAAGGTATTTGCAAACCTAAAATGCTATGGGAAGGGAGGAAAAGGGGTCTGCGACGTAGGAAGTGGTGAAGGAAGTAGTCAAGGCAAGCTGTCCGGAGTGTGGAAACTGTTTATGACGATTAGATTAAGGTATCTACAAACCTAAAATGCTATGGGAAGGGAGGAAAACAGGTCCGTGACGAAGGAAGTGGTGAATGAAGTAGTAAAGGCGAGTTGTCTGGAGTGTTGGATCTGTTTATGACCAATAGATTAAGGTATCTACAAACCTAAAATGCTATGGGAAGGGAGGAAAACAGGTCCGCGACGTATGAAGTGGCGGAGGAAGTAGTTTAGGCGAGTTTTTCGGAGTGTGGCAACTGTTTATGACGATTAGTTTAAGGTATCTGTAATCCTAAAATGTTATGGAAAGGGAGGGAAACGGGTCGTGACGTAGGAAGTGGTGAAGGAAGTAGTGAAGGCGAGTTGTCCGGAGTTTGGGAACTGTTTATGACGATTAGATTAAGGTATCTGCAATCCTAAAATGCTATGGAAAGGGAGGGAAACAGGTCCGTGACGTAGGAGGTGGTGAAGGAAGCAGTAAATGTGAGCTGTCCGGAGTGAGGGAACTGTTTATGCCGATTAGATTAAGGTATATGCAATCCTAAAATGCTATGGAAAGGGAGGGAATCAGGTCGGTGACGTAGGAAGTTGCGAAGGAAGTAGTAAAGGAAATGTTGTTCAGAGTGTGGGATATGTTTATAACCAATAGATTAAGGTATTTGCAATCCAATAATGCTAAGGGTAGGGAGGGAAACAGGTCCGAGACGTAGGAGGTGGTGAAGGAAGCAGTAAATGTGAGCTGTCCGGAGTGTGGGAACTGTTTATGACGATTAGATTAAGGTATCTACAATCTTAAAAGTCTATGGGAATAGAGAGAAACAGGCCCGCGACGTAAGAAGAGGTGAAGGAAGTAGTAAGGTGAGCAGTGTGGAGTGTGGGAACTGGGGACCCTTTGTAGCAGTTAGATTAACTTATCTGCAATGCTGAAATGCTATAAGAAGGGATGGAAGCATGCCCACGACATAGAAAATGGTGAACGAAGTAGTAAAGGCTAGCGGTGTGAAGTGTGGGCAATGTTTGTGGCAATTATATTAACGTATCTAAAATACTAAAATGCTACCTATGGAAAGTGATGAAAACAGGTCCACGATGTAGGAAGTAGCTTAGGAAGTAGTAAAGTATGAGCATAATGTGAGAACCGTCTGTGGCAGTTAGATTAATGTATCTTCAATCCTAAAATGCTAAGAGAAGAGAAGGAAACAGGCCCTACGACGTAGGAAGTGGTGAAGGAAGTTTTAAAGGCTGGCAGTGGAGAGTGGGGGAACCGTTTGGGCAGTTAGATAAATGTATCTAATACCATTATATAGTCAATATACCAATATATAGTCAATTCTAATACTTAAATGCTACGAGAAGGGTCTAAACAGGTCTATGGCGTAGGAAATGGTGAAGGAAGTAGTAAGGCTTGCAGTGCAGAGTGTGGGAACTGCCTTTGGCAATTACATTAATGTATCTGTAATCCTAAAATGCTATGGGAAGAGAGGGAAACAGGTCCAGGACGTAGGGGGTGATGAAGGAAGTAGTAAAGGTGAGCAGTGTTGAGTGTGGAATGGATGTGGGAATGAATGGGCATTGCATGTATCTGCAATGCTAAAATGCTATGGGAAGAGACTGTAGACTGTAGGTTAAAATGATTACAAAGCACAAATCGATACATATTTCGATACATGCAATCGTTTACAATAGAAATTTACAACTGAGTTGTCAACAACTGATTTTTACTCCATAGAGGCTAAAAACGATCTTTACTCCCTAAAGAGTAAAAATGCTACTTTAGACCCGCAACGCATGCATTAAAAACGACTGTTTTTACTGCAGTATGACAAAAACAATATAGTATGAACCCCTGATGACTCCGCTCAATTTTGTGGATGCCTCTGCAAACGCCACCTAGTTTTATTAATCTTAAGGTGTCTCAAGAATATAAAATTAAGTGTTTTTTCTGTAAACAAGAATAGTTACTCAACTAGTGACAGAATAGGACTGTTCTTCTTTCATACTGAGATTGTATCATATTTCAGTCAAAATGCTTTTTCATCCAGGTGATTTGAAATCAAATTTATTTCAGATCAACTGCGTTACAATTGGAAATAATATGTCAAGTGTTTGTTTTCCAGAAACCAGCTAAACCCCTGTCTTATTTCTTACCTCGAATAAAGATATTATGTCAACCTGCGGAAAGGTTCATGAAGCAGTTTGAACTTCCTCCAGTGCCTACACATGTGAAAAAGGCAAGTTTACTATTGATAAATTACAAACTCACAAATAATTAACTACTTTATATCACTAACATGACTTCTATTAGTTATTGATTTTAGTAAAAGCAGCAATAAAGTACTTGAAACATACAAAATTGCACACTTTAATGGTTGAGGGTTGCTTATGAATTAACACTCCAATATCAATTTATAAGTCTAAAGATTGTTTCTCAAACAAATTGTTCTAACTCACAACCGATTTCAATATTAACACCCTTCCTACAGAAAGCCAAACAAAGGATTCAATTCATATTCATATACTTTACTGGAGCGGTTGATTTCCCTTGAAATCATTATTGGCTAATTTGATCAGACTTCTTAATATGGGCATACCCCATAATTCCATAGAGAGCCATAGAGAGAGCTAGAATTAGTTGTAGATGAAGTCAAGAACACTGCTGGTGTCAGATTTCAAACAAACAGGTTTATTTTAAGAAGTAAAAATGATTAAATTGGAGTTCTACTCATTTGGTGAATTCTTGCTGTTACTTTAACATAAAATTAATTGTTTGTTAGATTTAAGAAAACATTGTCAAAGTCTATTGTAAAGCTGGGTTTTCCTAGACGCGGAGTCGGCCAGCGGAGAGCGGACAACGGAGAGCGGAATTGAAATTAACATGGCATTCCGCTCCGCTGCTAGGAAAACAGTAACATTAAATTACCTAAGACAAGCTGAGTCCGCTCTCCGCATTCCTCTCTCCGCTGGCCGACTACGCGCCTAGGAAAACCCGGCTTAAGACTTACTTAATGACAAATAAAGATTAAAATACCATTAATCCGTCAGTGTGATTAATGTCACTGATGAGTGGGGACCGGTTTCAACCCGGAAATGAGGTCATCCACAGGCGATAAAAGAACATTTCCCAACGTCATTCAACTTATTGATCATACTGACAGATTAAAGATGTTTAAGCCTCTAGTATTAATTTAAATTGTGATCAGGAGACAAAAACAACAAAAATAACAAAAGGATTTTGAATTTTGAACTACCTTGGTCAGAACTAGAGCGTGATGGAGTCTGTAACCTATGATCAAACCCTCTTAACAAAATGATATTCAGGATTTGGAGAATTTTACAGTTTTATTCGATTTATTAAGTTTATTAATAGACAACTAATTAAATCTGTTAGTTGAATCTTAATTTGGAAACAGGCTTTCTTCAGTAATCACTCTGTACACCAAATTACACTATTCAACCTTAAAAATATTATAAATCACAGAAACATTTAATTTTCACTACAGTACTTTAATAACATACAGTATCTGACATTGTACTCAGATCCCAAACGTAAAAGAATTTCATTGTTTTTATTAAATGTGACATTGCTAAGTAAAGTAATTATTGCAAGTAAAGAAAATGAGCTCAAGATTATTAGTTGTATTCTTTTGTACCTCAGCTGAAAGTGGAAGAAGATAAAAAATACGAGTGTCCAGAAAGAATACGACAACTCGCACAACCGAAAGACTACACTGAGTTTAAACTGGATGAAGAATATGACCCTTATCATATAAACCCGGCAGCCTTAACTTATGTTGGTGAGTATGGATGGACTACTAACGATCAAAGTAGAATCATAAACACTGATCTTATTAAATTATGATATAAGAATGTTCTTAGGTATGCATAAGGTAGAGGATGTCGTAGATTTAACCAACGAATTTTGGATACTGCAGTAGTCCACATCTCATTTATTAGGACCAACCTATAATTATGGCAATTTTTATTCAAAAAGACATTGGCAAATGATCCACTTTCGGAGTATACTGTAGTACAATTATATTATATTTTGTTCCTGTGACAGTTGATGTGACATCAAATATGCTACATTTACAATAAATTGTTAGAAATAAGTATGAGTGCACTCTGTCAGTGTGTAATTCAATTACACCACAGAGAAGTTTAGTTCAGAGGAAACAATCCATGGTACACTTAACTGGTGTCTAGCACTAGTCGCTGGTGTCTAGGGTAAAGTCAAACACCACCACGTCCCACCTCATGAAAACTTGTCCTCAAGGCTCACGGTGAAGGAGGACTTTGTGCCCTGTGCAATAGGAATTTCCACAGTGCTTGCTGCTCAAGCTCTTTCTTGCTCGTCACAAGTATAATTACGGCCAACATACAGAGCTGAAAGTGCATGATCGTCCTATAAGCAAGTTTTCCTATGTACCTACCTTGATTCACTGTGACTACGCTAATTTTTATTTTAAAACTACAAGTATAATGGTAACGGATTTTCTAGTTCTATCTATAATAGTTGTGAAAGATGTAATCATAGGTCTTGCCCTACTGAAACATCTTTTCTTGATCAGCTGAAGACAGTAAATCATGGTTACTATGTTCGGTAACATTTTAATATGTCATATCTGCTGATTTGTGTTATTTTACAAAAATAAAATAATTTAAATTGTAATAACCACAGAGATAAGGTACAGAGGAAACTTGCTTATGGGATTGTGGACTTTCATCTCTAGTACGTTGTAGTGAAATATACTTTGAAATAAAGTAGGCCTATGCAAATTGCTACAATACTTGTAAATAGTGGTTTTGATAGCTAATAAGTGGTTGGCTTCATGTATACAGGAGGAATGGATTCAACGCCCAATAGTGGTTGCACTTTTACTTACTGGTCAGCAAGCTTTCTGGTCTTTTCAACAAGTCTTTTCACTAGGTTATTTCAAATAAAGTTTAGAAAGTAGTTTTGAATTAACAACATTGTTTGGCAGTTAAAATTAACTATATCCAACACATAATGAAATTATTGTAAGTTCTCTTTCCAAAACAGTAAATAATTACAATACTCCGTTTTCTTTCCAGCAACTGAAAATATTAAGAAAATTGCAGAGCCAAAGCGCAAAGAGGAGAAGAGAATAAAGAAATAAACTAAGGTTGTGGGGAAGATGTAATTACGATTATCTGTATTAAGCTCATCATCCAAATGTTTATTTTGAAATGATTTTTTCTTTATGGTCAAATCGCTCTCTATTAGTCTATTAATCAATATATCATATCTGGTCAAATAAATTAGTGTTTCTTTTACTTTACTATAAAAATGGTGAGTGTCCCCACACTGAAAAATTTAGGACCACACCACTTGCATATTTTCACAATGAGTATGATTAACGACATCATCCAGCCTACATCATTAACATCATTGTGTAAATGTTTATGACACCACCTGACTTTTATGTACCTGGTATGCATATTGTCTACGTCTCTAAACACATTACTCCATTATCGTTGGACAAATGGCAATTGACTTAAATAGCGGTTGACGACCTAAGCCAGGGTATTCTAGTTCTAGAATGCAAGTTATACTTGGCCAGTGTCAATTTTCTTTTACGTCATTATTTAATACTATGACAAGACACACCAAACCATTTGGGTGCAAAATGGATAGAGTAGAGGAGGGTAGAGGTAGAGGATAAAGTAAAAAACAAGACCTTGGTCTCAGATTTGATCTAGTTTGCTTGACTGCAACAGGAGCTTGATGGAGCTATAATATCTACTTATTACCATGAATAGTAGACTGACCCGGATTAGAATTAACTAAATTACTTTCAATTATATTTTAGGAAACTGGTCTCTATCGTGAGTTTATTTTTTATTTTTATAGTTAAACCTGTATTTGCAAAAAATAATATAGTCTACTTATAGTATAGATCAGAGGAAGTATGGATGGTTATTGGTGAGGTCACAAATCTTAGAGAGTATATAAATGGCTATGGAAGTAAGGATGTAATGTTCACATATGATCAGTGCCGGATTTAGGGTACTTGAGTATCGAGTATCTGGGCCAAATTGAAGCAAATTGGCAATTGAGAGCAGCCCATGCCCCATAGGCGGAACTTCCCCGCAATCAAGGAAAAATTGTGAACATTCTCCTCTTAATAAAATGTATCCACCTCCTATTATTTTTTTCTAAAAAAGTATAAAGTCTACATGTACAGCAACCCCCTTTAGCTTGCCGCCGTCCTAGTGGTTAATCTGGAACTGAATTATATCTATATAAATATGCAATAATACGTTTTAGGTTTTAGGTTAGTTAAATCAACTCAACTCAAGTAAATAAATATTTTTATTTATAATATTTGTATGAAACATTTCCCATTGCAAATGGGCTTGTAGAGTTTGTATAGAGATAAAATGTTCCTTGAGCCCTGAAACAAATTTTACACAGTTAACTAACTTTTATACTGGTATTATCTAAATATATAAAAGGCAAAGCCCTCACTGACTGACTCACTCACTCACTCACTCACTCATCACTAATTCTCCCACTTCCCATTTACCTAGGAGGCTGAAATTCGGTACACCGATTCTTTGGGCATTAAATAGGAAAACTATGTAGTTTTTATTCTGATCGGGCTTTCGGGCTCCGCCCCAGTGGCTCTGGAGTTTCCCATGTTAACCTTATGATTTTTCATATTTAAAAGGAATTTCTTAACAGCTGTTTCAATTAAACAAGTTGGTTCTGTTCTATGATGTTCAATAGCTTTAAAGTTACAAGGATTACCAACAGGGTGCAGCACTATTATTTTTTTTAATTTATGACTACAGCCAATTTGCAACCAAAAGGTGAGTGAGCGTAGCGAACGAACTTCAACCTGGAAGCGAGTTAGCGTAGCGAACGAGCTAACCTGAAGGCAAGTGAGCGTAGCGAACGAGCTCCAACCTAAAGGTGAGTGAGCGTAGCAAACGAACTTCAACCAGGACGTGATTGAGCCATGCGAACGAGCTCACTTGTGAAGTTGAACGGGGCAAAGCCCGTGGATACAGCTAGTTGACTCTAAAAGTTTATTTTTTCAGTCTAAATTTTACAATACCAAGTTTAGCAATGATGAAATGGTAAATATTACCGTGGCACAATGCTGAAATATTAAATTAATCTTTGTCTAGTTCATCATGCATCATCGTAAAGACTAAAGGACATTTCTGATCCAACACAACAATCCAATATTGTTCCTTATACTTTTTCACTAAAAGTTAAATCCTATCAAGAGAGAATTGTTTAAAGTTACGATGTTTATTCTATTTTGTATTCATTAATCACAATGAACTTGCTACATCAAGTTATGACTAAATATTCTATGACCAAACTATCCCACCTTGTACTGACAAGCTCTCCCATGATGGCTGTTGCATTGTCTTTGCAATAACCTGACTTGTAATCACTCCACTTGTCACAAGCTGTTGCTACAAAGTCTGCACTTGTAATGGACTCTGCGAAATACCTGTAGGCTCTCCGGTGTGAGCAGAAACCTACATCATCATTGTGTTATTTACGCAACTTCAAACACATAATTGATATATGTTAAAAGATTCCGGACCAGCTTAGTTCGGACTTCGGATCTTGACAGACATCTGTTAGGCACTCTTGCTTACTCCTGCTAGGCTACTCGTTAACATGGAAACATGTTGTTACCCACAGAAATTTCCGGGAATTTTTGGGAAATTTTAAATCTCGTCATACGAGACGAGATTTACTTTTGATCAACATTTTTTCAAGACGAGAATACAAATTATTAAACGCCTGCAGAAAGTCAATGAGATACCCGCGATACAGGAGCGCATTGTAGTTGCGTTTCCTTTGCGAAGGCGTTCTTATTTTATTTTTTTAATTTATTCTTTACATGTAAATATTACTTTACTTATTTTATCATTTGAGAAGTTTTGTTAAGTGTAAGCAGTGTGAGGCATGTTTTACTAATATAAACAAAGCCAAAACAAGTAGGCCTAATAACTATTTTATACAAATTAATATTGCTTTTATTTTATGATTTATTTTATTTTAGGATAAGTTTAACTCTATCCTAACTTATATCACCATTTTACCTAATCGTAAGCATTTTTAATAAGTTAGGTTTAATTAATATACATTTTTTATGCTGATGTTTTTTAATAAAAGATTTTAAATATTCTTGCCTATAATTCAAATTTTTTTATTTAAACAGTCATCTAACAATGTTACAAAATCAGGTTAAAATGTCGAACATGCATTCGTAGTATGAGAAGGGAAATCCCGTCTCAATCTCATCTCGAAATTGTATGAGAAATAAAAAATCTTGTCTCGTATCGTCTCCAAACTAAAAATCCAATCTCGTCCATCCCTAATAATTAGTTTGGAATTGAATGATCAAGCAAGACATACTTATGACTTACACTCATGCATACGTTCTGCTAATGTGTAAACATAGTAAATTGTGATCACCAACAAATATTTATTTCGGTTAGTAATGTAGTTGTATTTCAAAATTATTAAAATTAATAATTATATACAAGTTCAGAAGATCGAAAAATCATGGGACCAGTTCGGTTAAGAACCATAAATAAATTTTAGAATGTGTGGGAATTTGCTTTTAATAAGAATTTACCAGAACAAAAACAATGTATAAATATTTCTTAAGAAGTTAAGGGCTTCTTTTAACCTGGTACATGGCTGTCTACATAGGCCTCAAACCAGTGCGTCGAACGTATTCAGCAAATTAAGGGTGAACTGTACTGATAAAACTTAGTGGCGCGCACCAGGATACAAACACACAACATCACTACCGTAGATTCGTAGTCTGTTCTGCTACCGGACTGAGCAACCGACTCAGTATACCTCATAGTACACTACTATAAGCAAACGTCAAACAATAGAAAGTATTTTGGTTTTTACTTAAAGAAAATGAAGTGGTGTGATTGGCAGTGAGCTATCAGGTGCCGTATGTACTGTTCAAATGTACACAAAAATAGTCTGGGTGTATGCTCTGGTAATCCTACGATGATTCCCTCACTCCACTATTTTCTACTCGTCAAGGAAACTTATAGGACAGAGGCAGGATGCGAAACTATGCGGAAAAAAATCTATAGGTCTTGGGTCACCTAATTTAGTCAACCTCGTCTTCACATTAGGACAGTAGAAAAACATACCACCAGAAACTGGTGATTCACCCACCCACCCTACTCAACCTAGCAATGAAGTTTCTACAGTAATTAATAGTCCTAGACTATAATGTGTCCTACATTATAATTTATACTGTAGTTTCGACAAGACAAAACATTAACTTTACTAAATACTGACCAACATCCAATCCACAGCCGGGCTGTATAGGAGTTCCTCCGTTGGGGTAGAAGTCAACATCTCCACAAGCCATGAAGACTCCAAGATAGTCTCCAGTAGTGTGAATCACATCCACAAAGTCTGCATCAGTTGGGTCTAGTCTTCCAGCTGGGGAACTGGTTATCATAGGAGCTGCTGGGTCTAGTCCTGAGGACAGTTGTATGCTTGTAAGCTAAAATATTCATATTAGGGAAGCCTTTGGTACACTTATGTTTCTGTGATCAGAGTTTCATTAACTCTTTCACCTCCAACATCTTAATCCATAATTGTACTGTTTCAACATGTTTACTATGGTATTTTTTTTTATTTCCGACCTTCTATCTTATTTCACTCTGTCACTGTCAGTTTAAGTTCAAATAAAATAACCAACCTTACTAGTACTACTAAATACAAAATATCCACATCTTCCCAACTAATAACACCAAAATTTCAATCATTCAACTGACCGGTAACTCTGGACAGGTTCCCGAAGGTGACAAACTCTCCGGTGACCCCAGCGACGTGAGCTCCCAAACTGTGACCCACTAGGTGGATGAGGTCAGGATCAACGTTGACGTCCATGACCAGGAAGTCTACGAAGGAGGCGGTGTATTGTCCTACAGGTATGATGGCACTGGCTGATAGAGGGTAGAAAGACATGGACAGCTCAGGCCAGTTCACTGCCACCACGTTAACATCTTCTGCTGCTAGATATGCTGTAGGAAGTGTAACAAAGTACAATTAATAAGAAACACATCAGATAACATAAATTCAGAGGTATTTGGCTAAATTAGGATTTAAAAGAAGACAAATTCATTGTAGGTCTAATTCTTCAGTCATATGGAAAATAAGCCATAACAAAATAAGCAAAACATAAGACCAATATTAACGTTGAGTTGCGAAGAAAAGCAATGCAATAAGTAGAGAAGGGGATAGAAGGTACTATAGTTCGGCCGCTTAGAAAACGACCTGCGCGCTAATGCTAAACCAATGCTGGAGGAGGTCGCTTTCTAAGCGGCCGAACTATAGCTTTGACTTTTAGATATTGATATAGAAATTCTATCAATTTGTATCAGACGTTACAAATTTTTGTATCAAAATTATTGTAGATGAAACTTTATTTTTGTTTGTACTAAGCTTTCAAACTCTAAACTTTTAACACAATGTCAAGTCCAAGCTCTGTAATTAGAACACATTTAAAACAATTTAAAGTTGTTGCCCAGATCATTGGCCATTTAAGTCTTGTTTTGGACACAAGATATTTTTAATACCTAGGTATTTTTGTTCAACCACGCAAGTTATAACAATCACCTTCACCTTTCCTTACCATCTGTTAACTCTTGGGCAAAAGCAATGGTTCCATTGTCAAGCCATCCATGAACCACGATCTTCGTCTCTTTTGAAACATTAAAACCTCCATCAATCAAACTTTGAGAGTTGCCAACATCAATTACTGTGTATTCTGGAGTCGAATGTCTGGAAAAAAAAAGTTACCGGTAAAAGTTTTATGTTTTTTCCAGAGATGAAGGTATTTCAAAATCCTCTATTATTTAAAGATGAAAATACAAAATAGAGCCTTTCAAGACTGTCTACCAATGAAGTAAGTAAAATATATATACTCGTAGTTTAAAGCATTTGTAGTGTGATAATTGTTTTGCTCATCTGTCTTCAACTGTTTGATCTAACAATTTTCTGACAAACACTACAATGACTATAATTTATTTTTGTAAAAAAATACAACCGACTTCAAACGCTCTAAAAAGAATGAAATAATTTTAATAAAATAAACCTTTGTATTAGGCAAGCTCACTTATTTTAAGTCGGCGCGGCTCTATGATGATTTTTGATACAAAATTGAAAGAGGGTGTCCATATTGCAGGTGACTGTCTATAACTAAAGGTGTTAATCTGCATGTCTTTTTCATAGTTATGCGTTAAGTGTTATTTTATTACCGTAATCAGAGATCGGCATTATAGTGGTATTAACGAGTATCTTTAAAAAGCGTATAACGCATTTAAATGTTTCTTAATTGGAAAAGTAACGTTTTAATACTAAACTAGCTTCTTTTCCCTATCATAATATCAAGCTAAATTATTTTCCTATTCATATAGAACATTTGTGTGTGTTATTTTCATAATGCATTTATTCTGAAGTAGGCCTAAACATAAAATACAAGAAGATATTTCCTTTAATATATAAACAAAACAATTCAGTATGTTTTTTTTATATATTTATGTTATCCAGCTACAATTTATTAATTTTCAAAATACACACACAATATTTAGTTTCAATCATATTTGCAGTTTGAGCCGCGCCGACTTGAAATCTCACAAAGATAAGATTGCGATAACTTTTAAACCGTAATTTTACAACATTGTGGATTGTACCAGTTTATTTAGAGTAAAAATACAACATACTTAATTTCAATCAAACTCAAAATAGTTTCAGCCAATTTTGGGCATATGCTATTTTTTGTCAATGTATGGATTAAGGGAAATCACCATACAAACACTCATACATATAACTTCAAAAACCATTTATTTAAGTGCAGGGGAACTCAAAACCAATATATCCACCTGTTCCGTATGGTTCTGTAGATATTATAACTGGGTAATTTCATTATTAATAAGTAATTTATTAACATTTAATTAACTGTGTGCATAGATTGTACAATTAATTTGGATATTCACTATTTATTTGAAGTCTCCACTCTACTCACTCACTCACACACACACACCACAGCAACTCCCCTCCCCTCATATTCTGTTCAACATCATCGATGCCTACATCATATGGCGTGATCTATATCTCTATCTCTTTCTCTTTCATGGAAAACTAAAATTTCCCCACCACAAATTTATTCAATTAGCGTCTAAAACCTTCCTCGATCGGACCTATGTGCCGCACCGCGCCATTATTCTGGCAATCTCGGTCAATGACCACCTCCTGGTGGAATCTACCCACCATAAACCTCTCTTGTAACAGTGGTTAGCATAACTAAATTCTCACTTTCGAAGTGTGTGCAGTGGTTCGTAGTGAATTAAAACTTCAAGATCTACTGTGTGTCCCTCTGCATGGCGAGCTCACCCAATCCCCTTTGTTTACCCTCCAGTGTTGGAATTTCTTAGTGAAAGGTATGTGCGAATATTTTTCTCATAACTATTATTAACTCCCACATTGAACACCACCCGAAACTCGAAAATTTTGACATAAAACAATAACTTCTCCATACTACTTTTTCCATAATACTGAGAGAAAGTAAAAATTAGGACAGCACCCATATAGCTTCAATGAAAAATAATAAAAATTAAGTATTTACCTTGTGAATAAAAGAAAAGAGGTATAGAGAGATGCGTTCTGAACATAGGAGTTTTGCCATTCTGCATAGGCAGCGTTACATCCTTCTTCTATCCAAATCACGGGACTGATGTAGCCAAGTTTATCTGCAACAAAATGTAAAAACTTATACCCAAACCATGATCAGCAATTAAGTACTCCATACATCTCTATAGTGGTTCAAGTGTGTGTGTGTCTATGGTTGTATTTGTATGTAATGAAAAATATTTAGTAGGTGAGAGGGGTCCAAATTAAATATCAGCTGAGTTGAGTAAGGACACAGAGAAGAAAGGTATAAACATTCAATGGTACAATGGTACTTAAGTGGTGTCTACTGTCTAGCACTAGTGCCGGTGTCTAGGGCAAAGTCCAACCCCACCCTCCTTACCATTTACTACAACGCTCACGGTGGAGGATTTTCCCTGTTCCCTGTACAATAGGAATTTCCGCAGTTCAAGCTGATCCTTGCTCGATACAAGTTTTCAGCACACCGTACCAGAGTTGAAAGTGCACAGTAATCCCATAAGTGTGTTTCCTCTTTACCTTACTTCTCTGTGGTAAGAGCTTGAAAGCATGAAGTGAGAAACACCAGGATATTTTAAAATAGCCCAATGTTATAAGGATATACAGAACGTACATTACTTTCCTAAATTCAAGAAACTCCTACGAAAACAAGTATGAAGTATGGTTTGTATTAAAGAAATAATAAGAATAGTACTTGAAAATTAAATTATATAATCGAACATAATACTAAGTAGCTCATGTGTATACTTGCAAGGACGCAGTGCGCTAAATAATTCAGCTAAACATTTTGGACGTTTAAATTTACCATTTTGAATGCCAAGCTATGACTCAGACAGAATGACATTTCAATCATTTAATCAACCAAGAAATGAATAAATTTGCAATGATTAAAAACACCATACCTTCTACATAGTTAAAATTGCTGTAGCTAAGAGGTGAGGTTGTATTGATGGGAAGATCAAAAAACAAATTACAAACAACGACACAAAAGTACAGAAAAATCATAATCACCTATATATAATAAGGTTCACTAAAAAATTGCCAATCATTTTTTTACGGTTTGAACTCAACACCTTATTGGTTGAATCACTTGATATCAATTTTCACTAATGGCTTTCGAGAGCAGTCTCAAGTAACTTGACAAGGTAAATAATGTTTGAAGTGCTTATATGACTCATATCAGTTTAGATTTTTGAAAGTAATTCGAAGTGACTAAGCAGTTTGATTGATATTACAATCTACAAAAGCAATCCTACTACTAAATATATAGTACCACAATACCGCTACTTTATTAGTATAACTACAGCTAATACAGATTGCACTGATATAAATTACCGATTTCTGCCGACTACACTATGTCTTTTACCAATTCAAACTGATGGAATGACTTATTATGAGCTATAGCAACTGTAATGACCCAGTAACTATGTCAGTAACAAAAAATAAGGTACAAAATAGAGTTTAAACACTAGAGCAATCTGTGACTGGCTCACACAAGGGTCTGACTTAAGGGAGGTACAAATGAGGCAACGATGACATCATAGTTTAATTCAAAATTCCTCCGTTAACAGCGTTGCAGTAGAGGAGCACAGCGCGTAATTTTTACTTCACTATTAGGCCTAGTTAATTATAAAATTCAGAAAAATTATAAAATTAATCTTACAATTTTTCAATTATTAAATTAAACTGTCATAACCTAACCAAACTGCTGATAATGAAAAAAATCGAATGAAGGTTTACTAATCAAAAAAATAGTTTTGTTCATAAAATAAAATTATAAATGCCTAAAATTCTATTTTATAATAGAAAAAAAAATTGTTGACAAAAAGTTAGTGGTGCCAGCGAGATTCAAACCCGGAACTTTCGGATTATCAGCCCGACACGCTATCCACTACACCACCGAGGCCGATGACTGGATTCCGTATCGTTGCGGTAATGGTGTTCCCTCAAGAGGAGATCTGACAGCTGGCGTCATCAAAGGCTCTTCTGTACCTCCCTTGAGTAAATACCCTCACACAACTACATTAGTTTTTTAGTAAAAAATTGGCGACAGCTGATCCATATAGATGGGATGTCTTCTTCTGCATCCAATAGCATAGTCAATGATAATACTAGATAAAAAGCATGTGTCCAAGCCAGAAAATTGAGCATTTTTTCAATCGGTTTTATCTCCTTAGTCGTTATAGGAGTTAATTTTTCTATTGTAACGGTCAGCTTAATTGGTTGTGGCCGCTTCCTGTGTAAATTAGTTGGCTCAAATTGTGTGTATTTGCATCCTTGAAAGCTATGAGGTTTAGGTTTTATAACAACCGGGACATTCTTAATTATATAACCTGTCTTCAAAGTCTTTTATTCTCTATTTTAGTTCATGTTTTTTTTTATTGTTTTAATATGTTTTCTAAACCAATGGCATTTTTACCTTATGAAAGGGAACAGTCTTTCATCATTTTTTACCATAAGGGACTGGCTGGATTTAAAGCTGGGCCAAGGATAGAAATCCTAACCTATATTCCAACCACGACCCAGCTTTGTACAAAACAAACTAGTGGTCTTCATCAGTTACCATCGAGACAACGGTAATGTTGAGGAAATGTTTTCTTTCTACAATCAGGGTATTAATGAATTTTTGTTTTTATTACTTGCATTATGCAATTTATTACTTGTATGTTTAATTTTAGTTATTAACACAAATAATTTTGTAAGTTAATTTGTTGTGTTGTAATTAATAATTTTTTTGCAAGTTTGTTTGTAAGCGCTTGAGAAAAAGATATTTTGATCGATGGATTATTCAATTTTTTTAGCGCTGTCTATGAATTTAAGGCCAAGTTAACACCAGGGACATATCTAGCTGACTGGCTGTGACTAGAATTTTCCGCAGCCCGGCGACACCAGTTCACACAAGCAACAAGTCCACCGACTAGATGGCAGCCGTCCCACAAACGAATAAGCATTGATTAAGGCACGTATACGAGCTGACTAGCTAGCCGCGGCAAGCTGTAACAATCGGCTAAGAAGAGGATCCTGACAGTAGTTTTGTGACAACAAGCTCCATCACTACTGCCGTTGGCTCGTGTAAATGGCTCCATTTGATCTTGTAGTCCGCTACGTGGCCATTGCGAGCTAGTCACAGATTTGTCACTTGTATGGACCGGACCTAAAGTCTCCATTGAACTCCTATGGTAGCCAAACTCCTTTTTCAAATCTGAGACAGATTTTGTGTATATTTACTTCATCCACTACTATACTAACCAGTTTCCACCCTTATAAGTCTCCTCAAAGTAGCCAAAGGTTATGTGGAAGAAAATTTACTTTCTCGCCAAGTATAAATTGTGTTCTAAGATTAGGTTCTGTGGGAAGGGGTTAATCCCTATTCTAATCAGTTGCCATTTGACATATGTATATGCAGTACCGGTAGTAAAATATTTGAAGTAAGGAAATTGTGCATAACTGCATTGACTATTGGATACTGAAGTAGACATCCCATCTATAGACCAGCTGTCCCCAATATTTATTGAAAAAATTCTGTGAGTCAGTCACAGAATGCTCTGGAGTTCTGTCAGCCAGTCACAGAATGTAGTCTAAATAGTTATTTGTGTAACTGGTGTGCAAAATAGCACTTTGTAGCCTACGAAAAAAGTATTTTTTAATCACACTACGAACCGCATGAAAAATTCCCCTAACTTAGACCACTGCTTCAACTTCGTGGGACCACAGCCTTTCTGTGGAATCTCTCGTGGGCATGCATGTCACTCAGTCATGTCATGGGCTCAGGAGGAACACAGGAAAAGATGGGTTAGGCTTCAGCACCACAAGGTAAGTAAGCTCACCCTCTTCTCCCCTTCCCAGACAGTCGCCTCCAATGCTCTACGTTTGGACAGGAGGCAACTCAGACAGATCAATGGAATGGTTACTGGACATGGCTTCCTGAAATTGCACCTGCATTGCTTGAGGATCCACAATGGAGACACTGTGTGTAGTAAATGTGGGCAATCAGAGGAGACTGCTGATCACCTACTCTACGACTGCACAGCTCTGAACGAGGTAAGGGACAGTACTCTTGGTGCAATGACAAGGGGCAGACACCTTCCTCAGGAGGAGCTCATAGACAGGATGCTGAAGTTCATTAAGCAACTCAGGTTAGACGGACTCTGAAGTACCATGTGGGGAGCGCAAAAAGCCCATCAGTGGCTGACATGCAACAGGACAAGGTCTGCCTCTACAGAATCAATCGATCAATTAACCACTGCTTCAATGATTCATGAACGACTTTAGCTGGCCTATATTATGAAAAACATGACAGCGCTATGTGTGTGACTACACCTTCTAACTCCCTTCACCCCTTTAGCACATTTTCTTTGATCAAATCATTACCCCAATCACGTTGGCAAGTGGCTATTTATTTATTTATTCATTTTCAAATAATCACATAACATCATATTCAGACAGGTGATTCGTCATTGTTACAATAATTTATAGTCCCTATACCAAAATTAACTTATTACTGAAATAAATTTCATATGCTGAGCCTTAAAATCTACACAGCTTCCATATATTCCTCCAATGAGAAGAAGGCCTTCTCCAAAAGAAAGTTTTATAACTACTTTTTGAATTTAGGGAATGAATTAGTGTCCCTAATTGAAGAAGGTAATTTGTTATATATATTTGGGCCCATGTACTGAGGAGATAAATGGAATACTTTAAGTCTGTGTTGAACTGGTTTTATATTGTTTTTAAATCTAGTGTTATGAGGATGTTCATGTTGATCTTCCATGAATGTGTCAAAATCACTTTTAACCATTAAAGCCAGTTTAAAGATATAAGAACTATACAAAGTATGAATTTTAAACTGAATAAAAACTCTTTACTGTGAGTAAGTCGAGACACTTTGGCTAAGACTCTAACTGCTCTTTTCTGGAGGATAAAAATTTGTTCGGCATGACTAGAAGAACCCCATACTGTTAAACCGTAATTCATGATGGAAGAAAAATAAGAACAAGTATAGCTGATCTGAGTCTCTTTGATAGATTCTTAATGTATGATTGCCAATTAAGTTGCCAATCTATATCAATTCCCAGGTAATTGACTGAGTTGTGAGAATATATTGATGTTTGGTTCAAATTTACAGCAATGTCTTGATTCTCATTAGCAACTGAAAAGTGGATTAGTTCAGTTGTGTCTTTGACACATTCATAGATAGACCATTTGCTGTGAACCAGTCCCCGAGGAGTTGAAACTCATTAGTAATTAAGTCTTGTTTAAAATCCAATTTTTTCTTGTTCAGTGCAGATTAAAGCAGTATCATCTGCATATTGAAAAGTATGCATTTTTGTAACATTACATAAATCATTTACATAGATTAAAAATAAACAAGGTCCAAGAATGGAACCTTGAGGAACTCCGTAGGGTGTATAACCCCATTCTGACTTATATTTAGCTTGGCATTTCTGTAAAATAATTCTTTGTTTACGGTTTTTTAAATATGAAATGAACCATTTTAATTCCACATTTTTTATTCCATGTCTGCTTAATTTTTCTAGCAATATATCATGATCAACACAGTCAAAAGCCTTGGACAGGTCACACAGCACACCTATTGACAAATATGGTTTGCGCTTTAGACAGCAGAGATTTTGTAACAGAACACAGCTAATTCATACTACAATAGACTCCCTCTTATCCGGACTCCTTTTAACCAGACTACACTTGGCAGAAATGGCATCTCTTTAACTGTACAATTTTTACTAGCACATCGGTTTAACCGGACTAGATCGACAGGAAGTGGGCGGTACTGAAATGACTGTTCTCGTATGAAAGATTTGAGACCGGTGATCACGTGTCTAAATACGAAATAATCATTATTGGCTTATACAGTATGGATTTAAGCTGTCCGTTTTAACGATTTTTTTGGGGGACGTCGCTAAAACTGGAAAACCCGTTATCCGGACTGGCCTCGGTCCCGAGGAGTCCGGATAAGAGGGAATCTACTGCATGTTGGAGTGTCGATTTTCTGGACGTGACGGGAGCTCGATGGAGGCCTTAATTTACATACATCCATAAGTAAAATAATACTGTTGAAAACCCATTCTCATGAGAAGAAACCTTTTATTATTTTGAGTATACAATAAAAAATAAGTTCATCAAGATAATTTCAAGAAACTTTAATGGCAGTTTAGACTATCAACTTAAATTTTAACTGTGCCCTTACAAAATTAAAACTCTTATCTATCACAGTATATAGATACTGTGAACAAAAGAAGATTCAGTTCTGCCTGGGTAAACAGATAAATCAAATGGAGTTTTTACAAATCTTTCAATTAACTTTCCATTAAATTTTATCAGCAGTGTACCCATCACTCAACTTAAGTTTAACTTGAGATAGATCTTAACATTGAACTGTCAGTCATTTTAACAACAGATTTATTTAAGTAAACCTACTTAGGCTAATTGTTGAGCTGTAAAAATACAATTGATATTTGTAGTTGGTACAGTAAACTGTTTAGTACAAAATGATTTCGAAATATTACAGTTTGTTTCTTTATTTCTGTGTAGACTTGTGTTATGACATTCAAGGAGTGCCTTACAAAAGCAGTGTCAAAACTGGTAAATGAGTTTAGCATATGTATTTTATATTTTCTGTTAACTAATATTTTTACCTATTTATTAGTGCTATTCTTGCCACCTACTATGTAAAACTACTATTTGGTTTTTTTTCCTATATTTTTTATTAGTATGTATATATATTATAGGTAGGCCTACAGTTGTTATTGTTATTTTTTGTTACTGTATGCTAAGGATCTTCTGATTAAATTTAATAGATACTGGCATTGACTTAGGGATACCTAATGAAGTAGAAATCTCTTTTAAATGGACCATCTATTGCCGGTTTTTTAATTTAAAAAAAAATTATATTCGTGTAAGCCCGCCACAGCGTACAAAGTATCTAAATTTCTATTTCCTTTGCTATTTTCTGTTACAGAGGTATATGATGGGTCGTAACAGTTGTTACAGCTTATAATAAGTTGTTTTACCAGTTTGACTTGGGTAAAAAGTTTACGTTTGCATACTCTACAGAAATCACTGAAATCAGTAATGTACACCAGCACAATCGGTGGCTCACTTCAGCTACGTTCATTTTGTTTAAACACAGGGGTCAACTTTAAACATGGGATGAAATGTTAAGTTGTATCGATAGTCAAAGTGACTGGTAACACTATTTTATTTAGTGTGCCAAATGTTTGAAAGGTTTTTTCTAGCATATTACATTACATTAAGTCATACTGCTAATTATAACCAGGAATGTGTCGATGATAATTTCTGTAAATTTTAATGATTAGCTGTGCAAACTCATATATCTTCTTTACTTTACAGAAAGTGTTTTGCTGGGTAACTTGAAAGGTAATTTTGAAAACATTACATCCAACTTCTGTAGCTTCTGCGATGACAAGTTTCTGGACAGTTCAATAGGAGATGCTTCTAGTTACACCAAATTTTACTATTTTTCAAGGTAATTTTATATTGTACAATAAGAATGTATTAGTTTTTATTTGTTACATAATATCTAATGCAGGTGCCTTTTAATTTTTTTTTTCACTGTAAATTATAATTGAGAGAACTTGCATAAGCACAACTATCAAGAATTGTAAATAAGTTATGCCTCACTTAAATGCAACAGCAATCAACATGTTATGAAATTCTGAATCGTTAAATGAGAAATTCAGTACAGTACCTACCATAAGATTTCGGACACAGCTGCTGGTCTAATGATTAGAGTGCAGTACACTACTTCAATACAAGAGTCCAAGGTTAAAATCTAGCCAATCACCAACATATTTTAGCTTGGAGATTTGGAGAATCCAGCTCAAGAATATCTCAGGTGTTCACTTGTATAGTATTTCATTTTATAAATTTCCTGGTGGTCAAAAATATGAATGTTAAGTTCAAATTTTAGGTACTCCCAGGATTTCATCACCAAATACAAATTTCATAATTCAACAGTTCTCGTAAAATTTTCTGTGCTGGAATGATCACCTGTGTTTTGGAAAACCCAGGTTGCCTGTTAAACATACGCTGTTCCCACAAGTTCCCGCCCCACTATATTGTACCCAATAATGGCAACCCCTTTGCTAATAACTAAGCATAATAAACTTCCTCTAATAAATAACCACAAATTATCAGTTGTGTTAATATTTAAAATTTGTAAATGTATAAGTTGAATTATTTCTACAAAAGATTAATCAATTCACTTAGAAATCCTCTGCATTATATAGGGAAACCGGGGAAAACTACACTGAAATAGAGTTTGGAAACACTACAAGTTTATTCAAGTCTGGATTCAACATTTCAAAACCAACCAAAATTCTAGCCCATGGCTGGATGGACTCAGGATTGCTCCACTTTTCAGCCGTGGTTAAGGATGGTGAGTTGGAATGGCTATCATTGCATATCAACTACGCTTCAGGTTTTATTTAATTATAACAACAGATACGAATACCCCAGTGGTCATTGTAAAAGTGTGTAAAATTCCAGTTCACAGTGGTCTCCAATGACAGTGTTGCTGGTCAAAATCAGTTAACTTAACTTTGTGACATCCTTTACATATTTATCTTTTTTGTAGAAATTGATGGCTATAAATATAAATACTGGTAGGTTATTATCTCGATATACTAATTGTTTATGTGTACTGAGCATAATTTTATAAAAAATTGACAATATTTCTTTGTAGAGTTATCAAGCCAATATATGTATTTTACAATTTAGTTCTTGCTTCTAGAAACCATAACACAACATCTTGTAGCAGACACTATTCTTCTTCTAGTAACCAAGAGTTTGATAAAAACTAGGGATGGTCAAGTCTCGAAATTTCGGGAAATTTTCGGGAAATTTTCAATCTCGTTACACGAGACGAGATTACTTTTTGGCCGAGATTTTTATCGAGACAAGAATAAAAAAAAAATAAATAAAAAAAAAATTAAAAACGCCTGCAGAAAGTCAATGCAATACCCGCAGGAGCAAGTTGTAGTTGCCTTTTTTTTTTTCGAAGGCGTTCTTATTTAATTAATTCTTTTAATGTAAATATTACTTTAATTCTTTTAATGTAAATATTACTTTCATTATTTTAATAATATTACTTTAATAACATTTGAGAAGTTTTGTTAAGTGTAAGCAGTGTGAGGAATGTTTTATTACTATAAAAAAAGTCAAAACAAGTAACTATTTTATAAAAATTAATATTGCTTTTATTTTATGATTTATTTTATTTTAGGATAAGTTGAACTCTATCCTAACTGATATCACCATGTTTCCTAATCGTAGGCATTTTTAATAAGTTAGGCGTGATTAATAAAAAAATGTTATGCTGATGTTATTTAATGAAAGATTGTAAATATTCTTGCCTTATCATTATTTTAGTATTTAAACAGTCATCTAACAATGTTACAAAATCAGGTAAAAATTTCGAACGTGCATTTCCCGTTGTGTATGAGAAGAGAAATCTCATCTCGATCTCGTCTCGAAATTTTATGAGAAATAAAAAATCTCGTCTCGTCTCGTCTCGAACTAAAAATCCAATAAAAACTTAGCTTTCTGTGTAGATTCTCTAAAATATTGTACATTTCATTGTGATACCATAACCTACAAAATTGTTTAACTGGACAAAAACCTTTCTACCAAAACAATATGCATACAAATCACTTGCTTGGGGGTTTGTTTATCATTTGTCTGGTAAACATGTACACAAATTATTTTTCCTACAGTTACCTAACAATGTACATGTGCTCTCACTGATTTGAGAAAGCAAAGTGGCCAATTCGCTCATCAGTGAGACAATGTTAACATTGTCTCACTCTAATTACTTTGTCTCACTCCAGATTTGCAACGTGAAGGCACGAAATAGTGAGCGCGTAACATGCAGGCAACGTCGTATGCGCGCGAAATACGTTGGCAGCACTGGCTGTAAATCAGCTGGTCAGCTGTTGTACTGTTGTATTTGTCACTTCATGTTAAATGTTATATTAAAAGTTCAATTCTGTGTAAAAAGAGGTTATGTTTCTTCACCAATTTATTTGTTTTATGGTAACTGTAGGAAAAGTACAATGTGCAACTCGTTTTCAAAGTACAATTGCCTCACTCGAGAATTCTCTAAATCGAATTCGTAAATTCTCTCGAGTGAGTCAATTGCTCACTTTTCTCACTAGTTGCACAAATAACTATAGACATATTTTCATGAAAGAAAACACTAAAACAGCTGATTTATCACAATCCAACCACTTTCCAGCTTACCTGCAAGCGTACGATGCCAACGTCATTGCAATAGACTGGAGCAAGATGGCGTACCAGTTCTACCCTATTTCTCGAGTGGCTGTGGACCCGGTCGGCCGCTACTTAGCACAGTTTGTAGACTGGCTGGTGACGGATGTGGGGGTGCCTCCGTCATCACTACACTTGGTGGGGCACAGTCTGGGGGCTCACATTGCTGGAGTGGCTGGGGAGCATGTCACTAGTGGTCTACTGTACAGGATATCAGGTCAGTACATAGTTTATCACAAGGTTAAAAGTTTTGTGAATTCAGGAACTTATTTTGATTGTAAAATATAAAGGATATATTTTTAATACTGAGACTTAGAATTTAGATAATATTGTCAATCTTTGTTTCTTAATCTGTGGTAGGCGTATAGAGGCTTAATTGATAAGATACCGCATAAAGGAAACTGATAGTTGCATTTTGATTTTGACTGATTTAAACTAGTTTCCACATGAGTTGTAGGACACGTGGTGTTATTTAAGACTTAAGTAGAATAAATTTGATCCTTTTTTTTATTCTACACGAATGAACCCCCACAGTAATAATAGGTTATTTACCTTGATTCTGTTCAGCAATCCAGTAAACCTCTACTATGGATGATGTTTTCAGTGACAAAGTCACTTTCTCCACATCTTTCTCAAAAATAATGAACTTCAATCATAATAATTAGGTTGTCAAAGTAATTTAACTTGAGTAGAGGAGGTCTTGAATCACTGGACAGAAATTGGAGACTCTCAAAAACTAATCAAGTAGTTTCGTACTAGGGATGGACGAGATTGGATTTTTAGTTCGAGACGAGACGAGACGAGATTTTTTATTTCTCATAAAATTTTGAGACGAGATCGAGACGGGATTTCCCTTCTCATACACAACGGGAAATGCACGTTCGGAATTTTTATCTGATTTTGTAACATTGTTAGATGACTGTTTAAATACAAAAATAATGATAATAGGCAAGAATATTTACAATCTTTTATTAAAAAACATCAGCATAACATTTTTTTATTAATCACGCCTAAATTATTAAAAATGCCTACGATTAGGAAACATAGTGATATCAGTTAGGATAGAGTTCAACTTATCCTAAAATAAAATAAATCATAAAATAAAATATTAATTTTTATAAAATAGTTACTTGTTTTGACTTTTTTTATAGTAATAAAACATTCCTCACACTGCTAACACTTAACAAAACTTCTCAAATGTTATTAAAATAATTAAAGTAATATTTACATTTGAAGAATTAATTAAATAAGAACGCCTTCGCAAAGGAAACGCAACTACAACACGCTCCTGTATTGCGGGTATTGCATTGACTTTCTGCAGGCGTTTTTAATTTTTTTTTTTTTTTTTATTCTCGTCTTGATAAAAATCTCGGCCAAAAAGAAATCTCGTCTCGTGTAACGAGATTTAAAATTTCCCGGAAATTTCCCAAAATTTCGAGACTTGACCATCCCTATTTCGTACCTACACTAATTTCTCACCAAATCATTAACAGTAACAATTTTAGATTCCATGGTAAGATGAGTCTCCATGTAGGCTACTTCATAGAAGAAATTTTTAATCACCTCAAATATTTCATTGTCTAGGGTGTGACCCAGCCGGCCCTGGATTTGACTGGCAGAAGAATGGTCGTCTAGATGCCTCTGATGCCAGTTTTGTAGACATCGTCCACACATCTGGGGGCTGGGCTGGGTACTTTGACCCTTGCGGACACGTAGACTTCTACCCCAACGGAGGAACTCCCATTCAACCAGGCTGTCCCATAAGCTTGGGTAGGTAAAGATGGTTGGAAACCTAGATGAATTTTTAAAAAATAGTCAAGCACGAAGGTTCTCGTTCTCATTTGTGGCCTATGTGGTGGCAATAGTGATTGATTAGGAGTTCAGGAGAGACGAAAAGTTAAGTCAGCCAACCATCTGTAGCAAAGATGCAAGGATGAAACGCACAGCACTAGAGCCTTGTTTGAAGAATTTTGGTAATATATCCATCTTACAGTACTTGAAGGGGAAAGAGTCTGATCCTGCACAAGAAATACAAAACGTTCCACTATGGACAAAATTCAGTATGTTTTGTTAGGATGCCACACAGAAATATTGGTTTAGTGTCACAATATACCTCTATAGAGTAAAGGCCTGCCACACTCTCTGAAGATGGCACACTCGATGGTGAAAATATTGGAGAATAGTAGAACTTCTACTTCTGCAAGGACAAAGGCTACTACACAAAAAGACACTCAAAGTTATTTCAAGTTCTTACCACTGGGAAAATACCAGTAAATTTAAATACAAACATGACAAACTTTGCTCTAAAAATTAGTTAACATACGGTAGGCCTACACACTTTCCAAATGACTTGCTTGTTTCAAAATGATCAGTGACATATTCTGAAGTTTGTCTAAAATGGAAAGTTTCTAGTGTCAGATTAAAACTCTTCCCCCAAGTCTACAATCATTGTTTCAGGTTTGCCTGTTGAATCAAACGAGAGGTCGTCCAGTGGTCGAAACTCGACCAAAAATATGTAATGTACTCACTTATCTATTTTCACCCCACACTGTAAATAAAACATGTGATTGGAGTTTCCTCCATTTGTTTTGATTTTCTGTTTATATTTCGTTGTTATTTCGTAACCAGCATAGCAACGCATAAGATCCATGTTAATTTTTTCAAATTTTTAAACTCATTTTTTGTGCTTATCTTTGAGCCTATTTAAATTTATAAAGGGATTCTGCACACCTACAGGAAAATAGCTTTCCAACGGTATGCGTAGATTTTCCCTACGATGCACACGAGCTGAGAAAAAAGGTTTTAAAGAAACATGCTTGCCTATTAATATATAGATTTAACTTTAGATCAAATGTTAGCAGCGCTACTTTTCTGAAAACATACATTTAAGTTAAACCATAGATAAAACATGGTTTTATCTATGGTTAAACTCAACTTATCAAATTATTATGGCTGTTTACAGGGAAATGCTCCCATGCCAGATCGTATTGGCTGTTTGCAGAGTCCATAGTCAGTAATGGGTTCAAATCAAGATCTTGCGATGGCTGGAATGACTTCAAGAAAGGGGACTGTGACAACAATACTGTGGCATACATGGGCGAATATGTAGATAGAAGGTTAGTCATGACATTAGGCCTAAATTAGTGTGTGGTAATCCTTTTAGGTACTTACATACAAGGAAGACATAAATGACTTCATCAACTTGAAACCATAAAGCTGTTTAAAAACCACAAACTTTTTAAATGGGGTCCAATAAATATCCTCCATGTTGCCATCCAAATATTTTAGAATGTCAATAAGTTAGGGTAATTTCAAAATCGATGGTGGTTTGCCACACACCAGGTAACGTGTGCCTGGTATTGGCGAGGGCTAACATATTAACATATTAACGTTCGCTGCGAGAATCCCTTTGGCAGTACGGTCGGAAATGCGACGCAGCCTCGGCGCGCCATTGAATCAGCGAACGCAATAGAATTAAAATATTTCAGTCTTGACGGCGGTAAAACTGCGGTGGTGATGGTGCTGTGTTTTCACTGGAGAGTGGATGTTGTTTACTGAAAAACTCACAGATAGCAGCACTGCCTGGATCCGTAGCCAGCAGTGTCTTTGTAATGTGGCTCGAAGAGAGAAAATCCCTGAAAAACGAGACAAAAAGTCTTGCCAGACGGGATTTTACGGGACATTTTACTACCAACCTAAACCAAATTAAAGTATAGGACCAGCACAACATGCTGACATAGTTTAGTTGATCCCCGATAAATGCGGGGTCACAGTAGACAAACTTGTACAACACTGCACCGTAACTCCGACCGGAGTCGTACGCACGCTGTGCCAGTACGGCATGACTCCGATCGGAGTCGTCAGCAGCGAACGTGTTAAGTACATAGGTATTAAGTACCAGTATTAAGTAAAAGTACGAATTAGTGCATAGATTTGTATTTTACAGCAACTGAACCACCTCCTTAGTATATCAACTTCTATATCAGCTATTTATTTTTATTAAAATTAAAGTTTGTAGGTTTTGTGAAACTAACGTAAACTTCTAGTCCCCTCCTAAAGAAAACTCTTGGTTCTTACCACCCCTACCCTGGTCCTCTAACATTAGTTTGTTAGGTAATATGCTCTCTTAATAATGTGTTTAGTCCAGGGAATAATGTTCACTTAAATGTTTGTTTCAGTGCTACTGGGAAATTTTATCTGAAGACAGCTGGTCAGTCTCCCTATGCCCTTGGTTGAGTGTGGCTTTAATTCAAAATTTCCACCTATGTTAGACTTGAAAATGTTAACAAATATAGCCTAGAATTGATTTACCTATAACTAGGAAATTATGTAATGAGTTTTTGTTTTCATATTCCTATTCTTTATCATTGTAGCCCACAAATATGCACATAGGGGACAACTACAACTACACTGAGGAAGATGAAGACTCTTAATGCTTTGTATCAGCTGATGGTTATTTTTTCATATTCTATTAATGTAACTAAGTGGATGGAGCGGAATCACCTCTCAAACCACCTAGCCTACCGTAAGATTTTTGTGAACGTAGTAAGTACCGGTATAAGCTTAAGTTAGGCGAATGATACAGTAGACTCCCTCTTATCCGGACACCTTTTCCGGTCCGGACATCGGTTTAACCGGACTACACTCGGCAGACATGACATCTCTTTGACCGGAAACTTTTTATCAGCAGTTTATAGCCCAGTCAATAAAGGGACTGTGTCGGAAGTAATTAGTGAAAGGCTGATTTTTGGCTCATCGACTATTACCATTTAGAAAAGTGTTCAGCCAAAAGTCCCCGCCCCTACCCCTCTTGCTTCCCCCCCCCCCCCCCTATGCCCCCCTAAACAAATAAAGTGTAAGGGTTTCGTAAATCACGTTTTTCTCGATTGTTAAACGACATATTGAATTGCAATTGGTTTTTATTGTCTTTGTTATAAAATTTCCTACAATCATGTTCAGTTAACTTCCGTTGTAGCTGTTACCTTTTGTTCATTATTTGTATACAAATGTAAAGATTTATAAATTTTTGAACATATAATTTTATTTTGCTGCCTTAACTTTTTCCGCTGACGTTTTATTAAAATATGTTTTGAACAAAAGTTGTAGCTGCTTTCATTAGCTTTAAAATGATGTATAATAGTACATACTTTAATGAAAATCCTGCAAGATTCAGCCGGTGTAATGGAGTATGCGTACTCAATCAGTGAGCTAAGTGGGGCTGGCGCGGCGTTGCAATATGTTCAAAAATATATAAATCTTTACATTTGTATACAAATAATGAACAAAAGGTAACAGCTACGACGAAAGTTAACTGAACATGATTGTAGGAAATTTTTTAACAAAGACAAATACAACCAATTGCAATTCAATATGTCGTTTAACAATCGAGAAAAACGTGATTTACGAAACCCTTACACTTTATATGTTTAGGGGGGCACAGGGGGGGAAGCAAGGGGGGTAAGGGCGGGGACTTTTGTCTAAACTCTTGTCTAAACGGTAGTAGTCGATGGGCAAAAAATCAGCTTTTTACTAATGTCCCCTTCCTAAAAACACAGGTTGACTTGACCAACTATACTCGCGGATCCGCGCCGCGAGCGCTCTTGCGCCCAATGCCGCCTCCCGTTTTCGGACTGATTCTGTCAACTGGCTGCAATTAAAATACTTAAAACCCATATCATTTTAAAGATTGAGGAATACGCCAACTTTTTATATAAAACACTTTTCTCTATCTCGTCTCATTTCAAAACAAATCAACTTAACACACGAAGGTTGAAATTAAAAAGTGAGAAAATTTACGGTCAAACTTAAATTACAAGAAAACTACTGAATATATCGACTACACTCTTACAACGTTTTTTGTAGAGAATATTTTAAGAATTGAAATGGCGAAACAAAATTTATTCTATTGCTGTTTGTGTCTGAGATATTGATGAAATGATAAAAGCTTACACAAATACACTTAAAAGGGTGTAGGGGGGGAAGCAAGAGGGGGAGGGGCGGGGACTTTTTAGAAAATGTTCCTTATATGATCTACTAACATCCATGAAAAAATCAGCCTTTCACTAATTACTTCCGACAAAGCACTATTTTGTCCCTTTATTGACTGGGCTATTAACCGGACTAGATCGACAGGAAGTGGGCGGTACTGAAACGACTGTTCTCATGGGAGAGATTTGAGACCAGTGATCACATGTCTACAATGCTCTTCTAAATTTAAGTCAAATAAGTTACTGTACCTAAGTTATACTGTATGCATTTAAACTGTCCGTTTTAACGAGTTTTTGGGGACGTCAGTTTAACTGGAAAACCCATCATCCGGATTTTCCTCGGTCCCAAGGAGTCCGGATAAGAGGGAGTCTACTAAGCCTATTAAGCTTTTTCAGTTTAGTTATCCGGCCCACAGGAATAGCCAAGGTCCCTAGCTTAAATTAGGCCTCTTGGTAGGCCTAGTTAAATTCATCAGAGCTAACTTAACTTAAGGAATTGATTACTAGACTAACTTGCATCATCAGAGCTACTTAGGCCTGTGGAATAGGACTAGGAGGCCCAAGCCTCACCTAGCTTGACTTTTCAAGTTGTAACTTACCTACTTAGGCTAAGTTAACTTCAAAGTCCCATTTGGGTCGTAACTTAGAAGGCCTACTAATTTCCTGTATTTTTAAAATACTATGTTGGTAAGCCCAGTCTAAAAGTAACACTTGAACTTTCCTCAACAATTATATTCAACTCATGACTTATAGGCCTAATGCGTTTGGAGGTACGGTAAGTTAAGATCTGGCTAAGTTTTAAAGCCTAAGTCTATGGAGTATGGAGCAAGGTAGGCTAAGTTGTAGGTTGTAAGTTGTAAGTAGTTGTAAGTTGTAGGCTAAGTTGTAATAAGGCTAACTTAGTCTTTAGGTTTAGGCAGGCCCCTAAGAAAACTACAGTAGTACCGGTACGGTAGGCCTACTTTATCATAAGAAAAGTAAACATTCTAAAAGCTACGATGATTGCTCAAGTCTAGGATAAATGCATTTTATTTTATATAACTTACCGATGACTAAATAGATCTGGGATTAAAGGTGAAAATAAAGGTTATGTAAGTTAGCAAAACTCTTTAACTTATATAGAACCACTGAACATACCATTACTGGAACTGCGTTAAATGTTAAATGGTTGGAGGCGGTCGGAGTCTCTGTTACTGTTAGAACTGTTGGATTTTGGATGATTTATTAGGATTTTTGGTTGGAGGAGGAGATCGTTCCCGTTCCCTTTCGAAATAAGAAGAAGTTAGTGATGACTAGTGAGAAGAAGAAGAAGAGGACGGAGACGGAAACGGGGAACGGAACGGAACATATTGACTTTGGCCATGTGGCCGTGCTTTGGCAGACGAAGGTCAATGTTATTTTCCTACAGTCACCTGACAAAGTTGGCTTCCTTGCACTGATTATAGTACAGAAAGCTGCTAATCGCTGCATTTACTTACTTACTTTGTCGCACACCAGAATTCCAACCAATCAACACAAAACAGCGTGGATTTATTATGCACATACGTAATCAAGGCATACATTGTTAGTCTGCGTGCATTTACAGTTCGTCCAGCTATACATCTGTCTGATGATGCAATCGTTCATCGGTAAAAAAATGTGTAAGGATAGAAAAGGGATAGATAAAATAGAATAGGGAAGGCTTTTGGGTACTTTGTTATCTGAGATCTCCAGCTATGCATGGATTAGCGTCACCTGTCAGCATCCAGCCACACCAAACCAAAATTACACTTTTGTTGGCCAACCTAGGAATTGGAATTGAGTTCCATAGTATTTAATCCATGCAATTTTTAGGTTAGATGTTTAAGAAAGGTAAAAGTGTAAGTACGGTACCGGTACCTTATACCATAGATAAAACATACTCCTCAAGGTTTTATCTATGCTTATACTAAAGTATATACCATTTCCAAGTGTAACTGGCAAGTTAGTCCATATTCTATCGTCTATAAATTTTTTGTTGTGGCCACTGTGGCCAGTATGGGATCAATAAGCTCCAGCGTTCAAAAGACACAACAAATCTATCTTTCAATCCTTTTAGTGCCAATTCAAGAAGCAGCAAAACTGGAACGTCCCACTCACACTCACAATGTGGTGTGAATAAAAATATCCATCTCTTTCGATTATTTAAATTACCAGTGGTATGTTGAACAGCTTTAAACAAAAGCACCTTAATTCTTAATCTGCTGAATTAATGATGAGAAGAGGTGCTGAGGTGCATGTTACCGATTATGATGTTTGCTCTAGCAGTTTGTTACATGTGTGGGAAACACAACGGTGTCTGCTAATTACAAGAAAACTGTTCAACACGCGACGGACGACCTTGGCTTTGGCCGTTCACCCGAGAACAACAGACAGGCATTGTCAACGACGATGCAACGATCCAGGACAATCCTGTCTGGAATGTCCTCGATTGGAATATTAATTTTTGATAGGTTTCGTCGGAATGGACACTCCCTTGAGGTATTCGCTGTTTTAGAGCGCTTTACGTTAATGTTAATAAGTAAATAACACTTTTGTGCACGGATACCGCTGCAAAATGCATTTTAAATGTCCATTTTTGTCTTGTGTCTTCACAGTGTGTTAAAATTTTGACGGGACACAAAAAAGACGTATTGTAAAGTAAATGTGAAAAGATGAGTGTGTCTAAGTTGAGAGAGGTAATTAAGCGTGGTTTTGGTACTGAGATGAACGGTTTTTTTAGCCAGGACCATTGGCCAATCAACGCTGGGTCAAGTTTTCAATCACCTACTGAATATTTCAGCATGAAACTGGCAATTTATCAAACCGACCTACTGATTATTAGAGGAGTACCGCTTCTCAGCTACAGCCTTAACACCAGCGCATTTGGTAAGATCGGAATATGAATAAAATCTTGGTTTATTTTTGTTTGCATGTTTACAATGATCATTTCAACGCTATGCAAGCTCATAACTTATTTGGGCAATAGGCCTACTAAAGAACAGTGATGAAATTACCAAACATAGACTAAGAAAACAAAATAAGAAGCTGTTTGTTCAGTTTATTGCCCGTTGCTCTTGTGCAGTATCCTTTTTTGTTAACTGCCACAATTCCATAAGCGTTACGATTCTACTCAGGAAGAAGTAATAACTAAATGTATAATTTTCAGGAGGAAAAAATTGTAACATTAGTCTATCATTTGCAGTAGAAGTGCAGTATTAGTATAGATAAAGCTTTTGATTAAGATGTGAATCGAAATAAGGATCCTCTACGAGTTACGTGGACATTGATACCAGACATAAAAAATATTACTCTATGGGAATATTTTTGGAATTCCCTATTGATGATAG